AATGGCATACTTAGGAAATACTTGCATAGCATTAATCCAATTAAAAAATGTTTTGACATGCCCTAACAAATGTCAACATTTCAGGAAAATTATCTCTTAGGAAAAATCACATATCAGAAAAAAAATACAATAGATATGTTTCCTTCACTTCATAATAAAAATGTTGAGAGAATTATTTCCATTACAACAGAACATTTAACACTTTTGGAAGAAAAAAATTGTAAATTTCCTTCCTTAAATATAGAAAATTATGACTAGATACAAAATCAATTCAATGCAGTTAGTACATCCAGTTGTGAATTTTCAATATGAAAAGAACAATTGATTACCTTGTCAAAAGAGTGATATATTTGAAATTCTCTGAAATAACCCTTGAAGAATTAATCCGAATAACCAGATCTCTCCACAAGGCATTAAAAATTTTGTTAGTTTTGAATATAATATTTATGTGAAATCAGATCTCACATTCACAAATAAAAAAATTCTAAAACGAGAGAGAATAATATAGACAAAGAAATGAGGTAGCACTTACTAGACATGAAATCTGCAAAAGCCACAAGCTCATGTATTGCATTATAATTGATTTAAAGAAGTTCCATTTTATAAAAGACTTACTTTAGTTAGTTTTCACTAATATAATTTTTTAATTAATATTTCTTTTACTATTATGTATTCCGTAATCTATAATTTTTACTAAAAGGGCATATTCATGCTTATTTTTGTTATTATTTTATGATCTTAGCGAGTTTGCCGTTCTGCAAATTTTTCTTATATTCAAAAGTATTAAAGGAGTTAGATCAGTGGTTCTTAACCTTCAAAAGGTTAAGAACCACTGATCTAACTCCTTTCGGGGAAAAAGTTTTGAATTGAAATAACATTAGTATTGAAATAACAATAGTTAATCTAAGCCTTCTGCTCTTAAGTATCTTGTCTCAACTTTCATCTATCTAACTTTGTTCTCGAGATTAAGGAAGAACAGACAGATGGATGACAGTGGAAATTTGTAGGTCTACAATTTTTTTCAAACTGCAGCCCAATTATTAACAAATATTTTGTTTTTGGTGATGACAAAGTCTAATACTTTGTAAACACTCTCCCTACACACTGCAGTTGACAAGGGCTACTGTACTGTCAATGTTCACAAGAAATGCCATAGTCAGTTAAATTGCAGTTGATGAAATCTGTCTACAAAAAAGGGGTTTGCAGAGAGGGATAAATTTTGATACTGATTATATACTGTAAGATAAAATATTTTAATAATAAAATTTCTTAACTGGAACAAATGTAAAATTAAAAAAAAGTTTCAGCGTGTTCCAGCAAAAATTTTTAATTTTCTAATGTTTTTGGCTATCTATGCAGCCATCATCAGAAACTGCGCATGTCAGAAAACACCCACCCCGTTGGAATTGACACCCGATCCCAACAAATAGAATACACTCCATCCAGGGAATTCCAGTTGACCTGAAGAAGAGCAAAGAGATCGCTTGAAAACGTTTGTCAACAGCAATATATAGTATATATGCGCACCGGTTACAGGTTCCAGATAGTGTAGTGTAAATTTCATCTATATGATTATAGTCTAAAATACAATTTGTCTTCATTATTATTTCTCCTGATCTGTTATGTTTACCAAAATCCAAGAATTCTTTGTTACTCACATACTTAGAATTGTCACATCCCTTTTATCTTTCCAACAAAACACAGACAATTCAGCTTTCTGACAGGTCATAAATTCCCCTTCCTTCTATGATCAGGAAAATTGTGTGGCATTCTAATCCAATTTTTGTTTACAGTTCCACATACATACGTTTGTTTATCCAGAAGCATTTTTTGCTAATGTCAGTGAGGTGAAAAACCTTGTGATTCTTACCGAGTAACAGTTCTAATAAGATACGCACAACTTTCTTACCTTGCTCACCTTCAAAATTTCCAGATTCTGTCATAGCTACCATATAAACTAAAAAATCCCAAACTTAAACACAAAACTGGCTCAATCTATTCAACACTAAATTGTCCAAAGGGAAAGTTATTTGACTGGTTTTGCTATACAAATTCCCCTTGTAGCCTGAGGGTTAAAAACAATTTTGTCTCCAGGTGCATAGAAACAAAAAAATTTTCAGAACTTAGAGTTAACTGCAATAGTCAAAGTTACTCTTTATTTACAAAATTATTTTGATAAATGGATATCTGAACAGTTTTGTTTTATTTTTATATTCAAAGGTCTAATGACAAATATAAATTACAACTCATGTTACAGTTTGTGTGTTTGCAGAGTTTGAGCTAAATAAAAAAATCAATTGATAAAACCAGTTTTTGTTTTTTGAATTTTAAGGAAAATTTTAAAAAACCATGTTTAAACCATTAAAAACACTATTTAACATTTATTTATTTAAAACCTAAATATAATAAATTAACAACTTTTGTGCTTTTTTTAATATTCATAAAATAATATATATCATCATCTTTAA